AATAAATTAATAATCTATAAATTAAAATTAATAAATAAAATAAATAAAACTTACTAGTAGTAATAGGATAAGCATTAGAATTTTCATGACAATAATATTTTTTTAATTTTTTTAATACTATTGTAGCAGCAGTATTTATTTTCATTATTAAAATTTTTATTTAAAAATCTTCAATCATATTCATTAACCAATTATAGATTGGTATTGTAATTGTTAAAGTTGAAAAACTTTTATGTGAAACATATTTTGTTGCTCATATAAAATACTATAAATAAATTAATTAAATTAATTAAAAAAAATATTATAATACAATTAATTATATTATTTCTTACCTCTAATAAATTTTTTTATTTCTTTTAATAAATTCCATTCACAATCATTTAAGGATAGAGTTGATGTTGATCATTTTAATTAGTAGATCGTCTCCCTGAAAAGTAACATAGTACTTTATTTAAGGTTAAATTTCTGCAAAAAGTGTTAAAGAAACTTTTAACCACCGTTATTCTTTTTTCAAGAACCTTTCATTTTATATATTATAAAAAGAGTTTATATTTTTTTAGTTATTTTATATTTAAAACAATGAAAGTGTAAAATCATAGTGTTCGAATAAATGGAGTTTCTTTAAATGAAAGAACCTGTATGATTAATAATTTGAAAAAACATATAAATTGCTTAAAAAAATATTATTTGATTATAAACATGTAAGGAAACTTTGCTTTTTTATAATATATCACATTTACTTATACTTAATAATAAAATATATCTTATAATTTATTAGTAAATATGGTTTTCAATTAGTATACAACACTTGTTGCTTAAGACACAAATAATAGACATGCTATTAAACGAAAAAATAGAACTTGGATGGTAGTTGATTATTCTGCTGGTCTCTGTGTTATAGATTTACATAATGACGCAAAAGCTTTTGACTTTACCATAAAAGATGATTCTGCTGCTGAAGAATAAAATCATAATGCAGGATATATCTTTGTTCGTAATTAAGATAAGTATTCATTAATACCATTATTACCTGAATATGTAATTTTCACCATTACAGGCAAAAAATGATTTTGATTGTCAATTTTGAAAAATAACAATCAATTACTTTTTTTTGGGAGAAATTTGGTTTTGATTTATTATATGATAAAAAAAAGCATAAGGTGTTGAATGACTTGTATTTTATTGCATGTTAAAAAAATGTGGTCTTAATTCAAATACTTGTCTTCGATCAATCCTTGGTCTTTATAAACCTCAAATAATCATCAAACTCAAACAACTCGTTCATAAAAAGTTCCCTTTACGATATCTAACTATTTTTCAACAAAAATCTTCAGAAAATTCACAGCATGCTAATGCAAAAAAAGAAAAAATATTATATTGTAGTTTGAAACGGAAACAAGAAAAAATTAATGACTTTTTATGTGACAATACTAGTTAAAATATTCTTTTCAGAATTCAGGTTGAACCTGATGAAAAAGCATTATCATCCAAACTGACACAAACTCTAATATTAAAAAGTATAGAGTATAAGCAAATAATTTACTCCTGAAATAAAACAATCAAATTATTAAAAGAAAAAATCATCTCGCTAAATAAAGAAACTGAAAATGACAAAACTGACATAACCACTCTTAACAATTTAGAGATTCAAAAATTGGTGAAAAAGGAAATTGAAGAAAAAAAATTGGGGTTAACTATTTTTATAAGTACTTTCCAATATCTTTCCATTTTTCTTTTATTACCTTGCCTTAATTTTCATGATTTTATTACATCAAATTGAACATTTTATACCACAGTATTAGAATTTAGCATATCTTATAATATTACATGTCTTCTTTGCAAAATATCAACATAGTATTCAAATAAGGATTCAGGAGTAAAATATTCTTACTTAGTTGCAGGTGTCACACTTTCTGAAGGGATAAACAGAAATTCTTTTCAGGTAGCATTAGCTACAATTGGAGTAATGAACCAATGTAGCAAGCAGTTTTATCATAATTATCAAGCTCGTATATATAAATCTATAATCGATACCCTATAAAAAATTTGCATACGTTTTTTCATTATTATAAATAAGTTTTGTATACATTTTTTAAAATTCCGTATCACA